CCATATTATGCCAGAGCAGCAATTGCAGACTTGCATACCCTGACACCTTAAGAAGTTCTCCAGCAAGTGAACTACCAAGGTCTGTTGATGCTACATATGCATTCCAGATCGTTCTGCCGTTTGTAAGCCCACTGAGTGCCCCATGGAAACCTAGAACGTAACCTCTCAGTCCTACAATGAGGATAAAAAGGACAGGAACCTTTTTCTGGTCACCAAGACCCTGTAGCTATTCCCTCAGTTCTGATCTTCAAGGAAGATCCATAAAGGATAAACTTGAGAGCCGAAACTGGTAACTTGGTTGAGACAGTGGTCTTATAGCATTTTATGGTTTTCCTAGCAATCCCTCTTCAACCCAGCTCCTCACTGTTTGGCATTAACTGCCTGCCTTTCCCTGTTTCACAGTGGGGATATGAACTTTATCACTTTCCTCTTCTTAATTCCCTCGCCCATTCCAGTTAACTGTTAACTCCTCTTTTTTGATAAAGTGTCTAATTGATTGACATAATAATAAATTAAGCTCAGACCATTGTCTCCCAACCTGTCTGTAGTCTGAAATTTGCTGTTTCTCTTTCAGATTTAAAGAAAGGGCTTTGAGTGCCTTAAATCTTGCCTGTTCTTTCACATTTATCAGTTGATGTATTAAAAGATGTACCTTCTCCAGCAGATGGCAACACACTTCTAAATTATTTATAGACCAGATGAGAGGTAGGACTTGTTCCTGTGCAAGTCATATGGGAAATGAATTTCTCTTTGAAAAGGGGGCTTAGTACAATACAGGTGCTTGTCTCTTCTTGGAACATTTAAGAAAATATTTTCTGAGCTAGTGACATTGTCATGTCATTTAAACTTATTATTCTGCAGTCTTAAATTGTTGTGGCTCTTTGCCTCCCCATTTAATTAGAGTGGCAGTGAACAGATGAACCAGAACATCTCTGTGCATCTCCCATAGCATGATCTTATTTTGAAGAAGCACTGGGGTAATTCAAAGGCCAGGATAGTGAGAGCTGTATTAAATGTTGTTTGTCTCCCTTTTTTTTTTTTTTATTTTCCCAAAAGGTATTTCAAAATCACACATCTCTAGTTCACACCAGAAGTACCCATTAGCTGCTCTAGAATTGTAAAGTATTTTTATTGCTGTGAACTCAGAAACTACAGAGTTCCTATCCATCAAGAACTCTATATTGGAAAGCAAATACTAGAATATTTTTTCCTTTGATTTCAGTTGTAGTAATTTTTCTGTCAATAGCCACAGCCTGATTTTTCACTGACTTTTGTGTTGTGGCTGTGAAGTTGATAGAAAATGATATGAAGAAGCATTTGACATCACTTCCTGCAGGTTGCAGTGACCAGACAAGGCACACCGCAAGGGAAAACTGGGCTCAGGCTCTTGTCTTCACCCTTTTGTCTGTCACTTCTTTTAACTGGTAATTACGCTTGATTTTTCCCAGGGAGGATACTCACTCAGGTGCATGACAAAACACTGGGTGACTCAGCACTGGTTGTCTCATTGCTTATGACTATGAATGCGACCAGCTGGGCAGCGGCTGTATCTTGATTTCTTCAACGTATCCCTTGGCATCGCGGGACCCAGGTTGCTCTGGAACCTGTACTCCAGTTTAGCCCCATCCTCAGTCTTAGATCCCCGCTCACCAGCCCCAATGCACAATGACATTGTCACCTGTTCTCACCGTCCCCCCATTTCTCATCATTTAAGGTTTTTCTTGCACAGCACCATAAAAGGATTCAGAAATGTGATCCAAGGGCACCACTTGCAAAGGGAGCATACTGACATACGCAGCCCACCTGCACAAATGCAAGTAACGCTGAAGGCTGCATTTGCTCACTACTGTGTTAAGAGTGGCTGATAATTTTTTCCCTCTCTCTTGGTAAGAAGGGAGCCCTAATATTTTTAAAACTGAATTCTGCCAACTCCCATAACATGAGATACTTTTTCTGAGGCAATCGGTAGGCTTTGCAAAAATGATAGTGGCTTCCAGTCTGTGACTTTCAGACAAGACTTGGGAGCAGAATATCAGCCAGGTACGCAGAAGACAACGTTGTCAGAGGTGAAGACTAAGAGATTGTTGGAGGTGAAATATTTCTCAGGAGCCCATGAAGTCAGGACCAGTAGCTGCAAAAAAAGTCCAGTGTCACAGTTTCCCAAAATTATAACACTGCATTTCGGAAGGGAAACTATGTGGAATAGTTTGAGCTGATCCATAGTTTTGTCCCCACAAGGGACAAGCCCTAGTTTCCTCCTCATCCAAATTGGTTTATGTACTGGTCTTAATTTGGTCAATAGGTGAATTTCTCCTTCCACACGAGCAGTGAGAAAAATGGCTATAATTATTAGAAAAAGGAAGAAAAGGAAGTGTCTTCCTCTAAATGACTGTTTCTTTTAAAAACAAGACTTGTACAGATGTATAAAGTTTGTTTGATGGTAACAATCACACACTGCCTAAATATATAGATTTATTTCCACTGTAAATCACTTTGTACTCTAATGGAGCAGCTTTTCTATTTCATTTTAGAAGCTACACATGATAGTGCAGCTCATCTGAGTAACAGCTAAACGTTAACAGTACCTGAAATCTATATTTGATCTGCCTGAAAAGAGTTTGACCTTCTGCACTTAATTCCTGGTGGATGGGAATTCACATCATGAGAAAGACCATCATAATTTGTACTAATTATAATTCTTGGGAGAGAGGCAAAATACAGCCTTGCAGACTGTGTATTTCCCACTCAGACACAGCTGATTTTGGCAGAGGAGCATGTCAGGCAAGCAGCATGCAGTGGGGCTTTCCTGCTGTGCCTGCTACCTACGTGGCAGAGTTGGTCCCTGTGGCTGTCGGTTCAGCAGCTCAGGGAATGGGACAGAGTTTCACTGCAAAAAACCCTAAACTGTACAAAAAAATCTAGAAAACCCAAGATGTCTGACTCCTCCCTGTGTTGTGAAACTAAACTTGCATCTTCGGTTCACTGTCAGGAGCAAGGCAAGACCTGAGAAATGAACCCATGGGAGCTGCCCTGTTTGTTTGCTTAATCACTTAGTTTAAATATAGATTAAAAATCACTTAAGCTCATTGACAAGTTGTGTGTGTCAGCCAACGGCTGTCAGAAGCTGCAAGGAAAAAAGAGCATAGTCTCAGAGCATGGTCTCAGAAGGAAGAAATTTTAGGAGAGAAATGAGAGAAAAACAGTGGAGTGGGGCAACAGTATATCTTCTTAAGGGACATCCATTCCCAAGTAAGCAGTATACAGGAAACAAGAAATGTCAGCTTCATCTCTTCCCCCTGCTACTGCTAACAGCGAACAATTTGGTGAATAATCCCTCATTTACATTCATTTCTTCTGATTGAATGGAAATGTCATAGTTCACAGAATGTTAGCCTGTGTCTGAAGTGCACTGAAAAAGCTCTGCAAGGTCCTCACTTGGTGCGCTGCCTGCCCTGGGGTAGTGTGTCCTTGCCTGTCCCGTTGGAGGCAGAGCCACACCTCACACGTTGCAGCACTTTTTGCCTTTTCTGGAGCAGTTCAGCTGTCACCTGGCTCTGAACTAGCACTGAAGAGCGTGGCACCAGAAAAAGCTAATCTAATACAAGCCAGTCCCTTGAGACTGCAGCCACTTGCTGTAGCAAGACTATCTGTCACATGTTTTAGCAGCAGTCTAATTTCTGATACCATCCCCTTTTTTTGTGGCTGTGTAAAAACACAGAAGGGGTTGATTAAAGCAAACTGCTAGAGAAAACTGCAAAGAAAAAGCCTTCTTCCTTCTTGTTCCCAGGAAGCTTGTGGGCTGTCTCCAAAGAGTGGTTATGCTTTGTCCACTGAATCTGAAGGGTTGCAGCACTTGTGACTTTCTGTCAACCATAGGGAAAAGCATTCTAGACTGTGCCTGGCTTAAAGATGTCTTCTCAAGTTTAGTGTTAATACAGGTGAAACACCTGTGTATCTTCTCAGTGTGGATGCAAACCACAGCAAGACACAAGCTCAGGAACTGCTAATCAGAGGCTCCTTGCAGCACAAACCTGCCTAGTGCAGACAGGTCTTCCTTGCTGAGAGTATCATGAAGGACATCATGGTAACTAAATTAGTGGTTCATAGACAGCCAGAGTTTAGCTCCTCCATTAGAACACAGATCCGTGTTCAAAGCTGATGTTGCAATACTGGGTATTGCGGGCATTAATATTTTCCCTCTAGTGTTTTCAATCACTTGGAGGTGCTATGGCTGGTGTGCAATGATTGCTGCGATAGTGTGGCCACGTCTCTCCTTTTAAGTGGTGTGCTTCCAACCTTCTGTTTGTTTAGTCCTACTTCTTTAGACAGAAGGCTCCTGAGGGCAGGGATGGAGCCGTCTTCTCAGCTGCCAAGGGCACAGTGTGGTTTGTGAGCTACCAGAGGTGAATATGAAAAAAGGCAGCAGGCTGGGAACTCCTGCACATGTCCATGCAGCTGGAAAAATACACTCTGTGGCTTTTGTCAGCATATAGCAAGAGCTTGGCTGGATCAGATAAATGACCGTAATGACAATCACACAGTTAACAGATGTGATGTATTTCGGGCATTTGTTTTTCATTTTCCCTCGGAATATTGACCAGCACTATTGGCTTTATTCCTTTCCTGATTTTATGGCAGAAATCACAGATGCCCCAGGTGGGGCAATGGCCCTGCTTCTTTTGAAAAGGAAGCAGGAGAGGGACGGATGGAGTGCAGCTTTCCCATGTGTGCACGACACAAAGCACGGCGTGGCTCCCACCGAAATTCCGAGGGCAGGAGCTGCTCGGAGGGCATCGCGGCGGATGGGGGTGCAGGACCGGGGCTCTCGCCCGCGGGACGAGGCGGGAGGAGGCGTCTGGGTCGGGCAGGGCTGAGCCAGGCCACCTCCCAGCGGGGAGGACCGGGGCGGGACTAGGGAAATAGGGGCCGGTTTTGTGCGTAGGGTGGCAGGTGTAGCGATGAGGAGCGAGGCTCGGCGGGCTGGAGAGGGTGGCCCCGCACGGCAGCCCCGACAGCGACCCGCTCTCATGGGATGGCAGTGACCTCGCCGCGCTGTTCCCGTCGCTGAGTCCTGCGGAGCCCCCTCTGCCAGTGCCATTGCAATTGCCATGCCTCCCCAGGAGCTCCTGGATTACGCGCCCGCCCTGCGGAGACACAGCCCGCCCCGGGGCAGCGGCCCGGAGCTGGGCATCAAGTGCGTGCTGGTGGGCGATGGCGCCGTGGGCAAGACCAGCCTGGTGGTCAGCTACACCACCAACGGGTACCCCGACGAGTATCAGCCCACCGCCCTTGACACCTTCTCCGGTAGGTGCCCTCCCGGGCTGCGCGGCGTCTGGGGCGGCGGGGGATGATCCCCATCCGACGCGGCATCGGGACGAGCGGGGCGGAGGTGAGCGCTCCCAGTGCCGCAGCTGCCGGCGGTGCTGCGCGCCGGGTGCTCTGCGGTCAGCGCAGCCCGGGGCCCACAGCCCGAGGGCGTTTCTGTGACTCGGACCGAGTCCTTCGGGCATTTTCGAGGTTTAGCAGATGGAGGTCCTGCGTTCTGCAGCTCTGTGTCAACCCAGCGTGTATCGAGTTGGTTTGCAAGTGCCATGACCTTGGGCACCTTCCTGGTTTTGTGGTGTTGTTATGACTAAATAGATGGGGGCTTTTTCGTTATTGTTTTTTGTGGTGGTTTTAGCTTCAATCACAGCATTGCACTGTAGGCTTTGTAGCTTCAACTGACATTCAGGAAAACCATCCTGTTCCCCACGTGTGTGCTGAAGTTAGCATTGAAGAGAAGTTGGCAAAAAGTTGAAGAGCTTTGTAAGTCAAGCTAGAATTGCCTTCCCTGTCAGCTGATGAGCTCTCATTAGTTTCCACTTTTCTAAATGCTATCTTTGTTCTTGTTCTACATTCCTCTTCCTTTGGGCTCCGATTTCTAATTTAAACCCCAGAAGAATACAAAGCCCTTTGAAAGATTTCTTATCTTTATTTGATATGAAGAAACACAACAGTACTTGATAATACAGATTGGTAGATTAGAGATGTGCTCGAGTCAGACCAGGAAAGAGACATCTAATGTGTCATAGTCTCAGGGTGCTTAGAGGGAGTGTTTCGTTTGTCTGAATGTCCCCCCACTTGCTCAGTTTTATACTGGGAATTGTTGATTTACCAAGCTCTTCCACTGTCACTTGAAGGAAATAAACTGGGAACATGTTGCTGTTCAGGGTCCAGCAGCCCTTTGGGAACAAATGTAAGGAGTCCTGAGTCCTTCAAGGGAAAGGTTACTTCTCTCTCTGCTCGCTTTACATTGATGTGTATGGTTTGGGCTAAGAGAGGCTTAAAATTACTGTTGTTAGCCTGCACATTTTTTTTGAAAGGGCAAATCCATAATAAAATTATCCTGAAAGGTGAAGGCAGCATGAGTGCAGAGATGCCCACACTAGCAATAGGCAATTTGAAAATAGCTGCACATGGGTTTAGCCCCAGTCTGGATGTCCCAAGTACTAAGCCTGCCTTCAGAGGTGCATAGGATTTGCTACTGATAGAAATCAAAAACATTAAAAATAGGTATTCTGAAGTTCAATTTCTGCTTCTTGTGAGGAAATGGGAGAATAGATAAGTTTCCCTTCCCACCCCTGCTCTTAACCCGAATAAATCTGAGGAGAGTCCCTTCCTGGATTCAAAAATTATGGTTCAGAAATTTCAACCCAATTCCTCCCAGTCTTGGAGAATACCTGCAATTGCAACTGCCAGCAGAACTGAGCAGTTTACATCCTGACTTTAATCCTGGTCATGGGACTGTGATGCCAATAACAAGATAGAGCAAGGTATTGCATTATTAGGGAAACGGCTCTGGGATGGTGACCCAGCCACATAGATCTCTTTGGGTGCTACCTCCTGCTGGGTGTCACTGCCAGGTAGAGCAGCCTTGGGTGAAACGCGTACTCGGTGACCTTTCTCCACCAGGCTATCCTGTTCTGCCGGCCCCTTCGCTATTGTACCATGATCCATCCTCATCCTGAGGGCGCGGACCTTGTGAGGGCGGTATTTGGAGGGCTGTTGCAGAGTTGCTAGTGTAGCTCAGGCTAGCAGGAGATATGACAAACCTTCGTGCAAACACTGGAGCAGTAGGTAATATATGTGGTGCCTGTCTTCTGAAGATGGCAAAACATTTCAGAGATGCTAATTCCTTCTCTCAATGCATTTATGAGACAGAGGAAACCAGATACTAGAAAGGCAAATGCCTGCTGCCTTGAAGATCAAGTCAGGATCTAGCAGGTTCTTTGATCAGGAACAGGTTTCTCTTCCTCCTCTGGGGCAAAGATATGGTAACAACCCAACTTTTTCCCAGTCACAAGGAAGCAATGACTTTCAGCTATGCCGTGAGGAGTGGCGCTGTGGTGGACGCACCCACCCCTTCATTTTTCCTCCAGTCTCCCACCAAACTTCAGACCATCTTTTGTCTGTGTCTCCCTCTTCCTCCCCCCCCTCCATCGCTTTCAGGGAGGAGTGTTCTCCTTCAGAAGCTTGTGTTGAACTCTCTGAGTCAGTTGTTTCTATCAGTTTTCTTGCCTGACTGATTACTTCAAGAATTCCAAAAACTTGATCTGGCTTCTGGTTGGGAGTTTTTTTGTTTGCTTTTGCTTTTGTTTTTAATGAAGACAATAAAGCCTCCTCTTTGCACAGAGAAATGGAGTTTTGCTAGCTCGTGTCAAGTGCCAGCCATTGTCACCTTAGCCTCGATGTCTGCCTCTATTCACCCAACCACAACCTCATCCACTTTGTCTGGACTTTCAAGTGACTTCCAGCTCCCCAACCATTTTCTCCTTTTCCTCAATTCCTAACCAGTCTCTGTGGTATCTGTGTGCTTAAACATCTAACAGTTTCATTCCAGATTTCCATCAGAGGTCCTGCCAGCCCTCAGTCTGAGTCAGCTGATACCACATGAAGGCTTACTGTGATTAGGGAGTGAAATGGGAGCAAACTTTACATGTGTAACTAAGCAGTTTTCCAGTTTTCAGTGTGTGGATAGTCTCTAAAGGGAATGTCACTCATCACTGTTTCCTTAATAGCTTCTTCATTTCAAAGATGGGTTTAGGTCTTTGTTTTTCCTTAGCTAGGACACTCACAGAAATTTTTTTTAAAAGCCAAATTTCTGATCTGAATGGGAAAAATCTCCCAAGTTTCTTTGGCCAAGAAGCTAGGAGCAAGTTGCTGAATTTCTCAGTTTGTTTTTATCCTTATCTTCTTTCCTGTGTTGTGGAAGAAGGACGAGTGGTTAATGAGGACACCGTTTGGCTAAGGGTTCCTCTTCTCTAGAGGAACAGTTGTTCAGTAATGTGGAACTATTCTTTCAAAATACTGGACAAGTACACAAAACACCTGAGAGCCAGCAAAATCAGAAGGTCTGTTGCAGGTCTCCTTATGTTCCTAGTGCAAGCTCCAGCTGTTTTAGTGAGGTTTGGGAGGATGGTCAGCTAGGAGGACAGACTTAAGTGACTTCAGTGAGTCTGTTCAATGGGATATGACCCACAGTGCTCGGGAATGGCCCGTACAAGTGTGTGTGTGAATGCTGATCAACTGCTTTAGACTCATCTTCATTCTCTTTCTGCTACAGTGCAGGTCCTTGTGGATGGAGCCCCTGTCCGGATTCAGCTGTGGGACACTGCTGGACAGGTAAGCTCTATCAAAGCATATTCCAGTTCTGATCCTGTGGGACAGGGACTGTTGCAGGCTTTGAGGAAGGCAGTGTTGAACTGGGAAGAAAGGAAATGCACTACCCCAGCACCAGCCATTTGGTGAATGGCTCTGAAACTTGTGTCTGAAACGTGGCATGGCCACAAAATCAGCACAATGCTCTGCCTCTGAGGGTCTTTCTATCCTAGTTAACATGTGGAAAAGCTACTGAAGTATCATGCTGTTAGAAGATCAGTCCAGTGAAGACTTCTTTTTTCTTCCCCCCTCTTCTGTTTTCCCCCCTTCCTTTTCTACAGGAGGACTTTGACTGTTTGCGTTCTCTTTGTTATCCTGACACCGACGTCTTCCTTGTCTGCTTCAGTGTGGTAAACCCAAGCTCCTTCCAAAATATTACTGAGAAGTGGATCCCTGAGATACGAACTCACAACCCCCGGGCACCAGTGCTGCTAGTGGGGACACAGGCAGACTTGCGGGACGATGTCAATGTCCTCATCAGCCTGGATCGCTACCATGTGAAGCCTGTGCCCCGGCCTCAGGCAGAAGGTCTAGCTGACAAAATCCGGGCTGAAGCCTACCTGGAATGCTCAGCACTGACTCAAAAGAACCTCAAAGAAGTTTTTGACATGGCCATTGTCAGTGGTGTTGAGCACAAAGCACGGCAGGAAAAGAAGATGACCGCCAAAGGCATCAAGACTCTCTCCAAGTGCCGCTGGAAGAAGTTCTTTTGCTTTGTCTGAAGCTGCTTTAAAGGAAGGGGAAAGAAACACCTAAAGCCAGTATTGGCTCTGCACCTTCTTGGAGTGACTGCTCCTATGGCCCCAGCAAGGAGGGTATGATAAGCTGCTGGGCTTGGAAACCTGTGTCTTGCTGGGTACAGTATCAGATGCCTGGGAGACATGAACTAGATTGCCACTGTGCCAAGATATAGAATGGTCCAGGCAGCTATAATACCTGCTGGACATGTCTGTAGTGTCCCAGACTAAGGGGAGCCTTTAATACATGAAGACTCAGTACCCCAGAACAGGCAGGTTCCTTACATTGTTCAAAATGACCAGTTTCCTGGTCGAAGCTCACACTCTTTTGAAGCTCTGATGCAGCATAATAAATGTGGGGGACTTTCGAAATCGGCCTGTGTTTTGGCTGATTTACAGGCTTGGCAGAGATTAGGGCAGGGGCGACAGCAATGTGGTCAGACATGGGCTGCAGAGTTTGTAACATGAGACTTGGGTTCCCCCTCTGATTCTGTTTGCCAAAGGTAGAAGTTACATGGCTGTGAAAAAGCAGCACTCTTTCTTAAAGGCCCTCTATTGAGAGTACCCTTGAGAAGGTATTTCCTAAATAAATGCCATTAGCAGGCTGAAGAGAAAATGGACTGGGAGCTACAGTAATACTTTGAGCAAAACTTTTTTTGAGAGGACTGTCTACTGGGGGCCAGTGTTACAGTCCTATCCTAAGAGGTAGTTGTGAACTTGGGGACCTACTTTGAAAGGCTTTTTGTGTGTGTAGTGTTTTGAGAGAAAGTACAGGTGAGGAACAGTGATGAGTGGCTCTGTCTAGCAGCGACAAAACTCTGTCAGCAAAGGCTTTATAATACTACCAAGGGGTGAAATGTAGAGGGAGAGCCATGCATGTAATGAAAGAACAGAGAAGGAAGAAAAAGAAGAGAATAAAAAGGAAAAAGATGGAATGGAAAAAGGGAGATGGAGAAGGAAAGAAGAATGAATGTTATTAAATGGAAGTTGTGATTCTACTTAGCTGAGATGCTAATATTCGGGGAATATTTTAGGGACCTGAAAAATTTGCTAGTGATATCAAAGTAATATTATCCGTACATTCAGTTCGGAATCAAAAGGAGGATGTTGTAGTGAGAGAGAGTTCCTCTTCATCAGTAAAATCCTCCATTTCAGATCTACACAAGAGAACAGAATTTACCTTATACAGTTCTTCCTGAGGCTGCAGAACAGGAAGGGAGGGTACAGGGCTTATTTCTGTTGTGCTTCCATTTCTTAAAAGTCACTGTTTGATCTGCTGAAATCAAAAGCAAAGGCAATCCATGAAGTTTCTGCTGGAGAAAAACATTCACTGTGTTTGCTCCCTTCCCCTCTCACCTGTTTCTCAGGGGAGTGATATCGTTGTGGGTCTATTCACATTTTATTACAGAACTTTCATCAATTTCTAAATCTTCATTTGCAGAGACATTTCATTTTGGTTTATGTAGCAGAGGGCGTGACAGGTCTGTCAAGCAATACTTTCAATACTCGGGGTTCTCTGCATCTGGCCATGACCCATCACTTTGGGAATGCTATGGAGTGATGTGACAGAAAGAGATATAGCTATGGATGGTTTGCCCTGGACCAAAAGCAAGCTTACACGAGCTAGTGAGCCTGTAAAAAGACAAATGCAAGTAATGCAGTCTGGCTCTAAACAAATGCCTGCAAACATCTCTCACAAGTATCTCTTTTTGTGGTGCAGCTCACGTAGTCCCTAGGATATGAGACAAGACTACTGTCTCCCTGGGCAGTATTGCAGGATGAAAGAGGTGGACGAGTATTCCTGCAAAGGGAAGTTGCCCACAGCCTTGGAGCTACTTGCAGGGTAAAGCTTTGAGACCTGAAAAGGATGGTGTAGCAAAATGAGCTGAATGTTGAAAGGACTCCTACTGAAATGCCATTCAGGTCCAGGAGGAGTCCTAAGAGGTGGTGAGTATAGAGGCAGTAGCTAGGAGTGACGTCTGACAAAGGTTTAGGTAGGACACCACTTCCTGAACAAAGCCCTCAGCAATGCATCCCTGCATGTATTCCTACCTGTACAGGCACCTTTGCTGTATGACTAGTTCAGTTTGTTGGGTCTTTACACATTTCTTTAGCCTGTGAGACCGGGAGCTGTGGTGTGACCTGCCAAAGAGCACGCCATACCCCTATGGAGAAAATCCACAAGTGGAAAGAGCACCAGCCTCTCTCCTGCTGAGGAGAGCAAGGGTTGTCCTGCAGTAGCTTGGTATGAAACAGGGATTATTTCATTCTGGAAAAGAAACTGTACTAAGAGCTACTTTCTTCCTCTGTGATTGCATCTAATATTTGGTCAAATAAATTTTTTTAATGTCCACAATTTGTGTTTGTAATTTTGTCAGTGCAAATCAAGTTAGGCTTTAACATGGAGGAAGAGTTATTCCATTTTACTGACAATAGCATAAGAGGGAAAATAGCCTCAATTCTCACTCCATGTCCTAACCACCATTAGCAATGGTAAAAATCTCCTCATACCTGAAACCTTCCTAGTTCCTTCTGTCACCTCAGTTAATCTTTCTCTACCTCAGCAGCCACTCAGGGTGAAAGTTCCTGGGGGGGGTGGAGTAGCAAACATCCAAAGCTTTCAATGCCTCTTCCCAGAAGCCACCATCCAGGGGTCAGTCAGGAGGCCCTCCCAGCACTCTCTGAATCAAGCCCATGTAGGACTTGCATTTGGAGCCTTAATAACAGCATGCTGCTCTGTCATTAGGCTGGTGGGTAATTTAGCAACCAGTTTTATTTAATGTACCTTGGTAGTTAAACACTGTTCAAGTGCTGAAAAATTTTGCCTGTGTCACACAGGATGAAAAGGTTCTATCCAAGACAGCTCACAGGACTCCTCCTTTTAGCCCCATCTTCAGCATTACAGATAGGTCAAGACCCCTACCTGTCCACATCTGGGCTCCCATAGCTCCTCCAAAGTCAGAGGACTGGGAAATGAGGATGCTGAGGGTGCAGTGTGGTGGTTCAGCAGAGAGCTAGGAGAGAAAATAGACAAAAACCCCACAGAGGTAGTGAGCAAATAGGATTCAGAAATTAGAAGGGAATAGGAAACTAATGCCAACAAAACACGATTGGGGAACTTGTGTTTTGTGCGGGGAGGTTGTTGTGGGGTTTTGGGGGTAGTGGTGTTGTGTGATTGTTTTTTGGTTTGTTTGTCATTGGGGGGTTTTTTGGTTGTTTTTTTGCTTTTGTTTAACAAAGTCTGAGATCACACTGTCCTCCTGCAATCTACTGTTTGCTAAATGTAAAGTAACTTGTGGGAATATTTGGAACAGGCTCCCAGCTTTGCAGCTTCCTGGCACTAAAGCTTACAGAAGAACCTGTGAATGGAAATAGCAGCAAAGTGTGAATTAACTTTACTGGGGAGTGAGTCATTCCACTGAGCCATATCCTGTCATGTGCACAATAAGCACTCTAAAACTCCCTGAAACCCGTGAACAAAGCTGAACTCCTGGGTGGGGGTGTGAATCTATCTCATTAAATGGAGTTTCCTACTAAAGCCACCTGAAGTGTCTGTAAAGCCTTGCCCTAGTCCTCTCCTTGGTGCAGTACTGGATCTGTGCTTTGATAGTTTGGGCTTGTTTCTGCCTTGCAGTGTTGCTTGACCAACCTGTATTTTCAGATGCTGCTGGGAGCACAGGGGAGTTCCTGGGATATGGTTGCTAACACAAACCGCCCCACCAAGCTGGATGAAGCTAGCTCAGCCCATTACTAGGCCAGCACAATTCCTCACAAGTGATGCCTACTTTCATGCCAGAAAGGATCTGTATGATTAGTTGATCTGACTTGCTCCATCAGAGCAAGTTCAGCATCAGATGTTAAAAGTACCTTCTTTCTTTCTCAGGACTCTAACTTGGATCCTGGACAGCAGACTCGTTCACAGTCCTTGCATCCAGCAGAGTAACTGATCAGGGATTCCCAGCTGCATAGGCAACACTGCAAGTACTTCAGGTACATACCATGTTGTATAAATCCACATGAAAGCCAGTGTGCTTGCTGCCACTCTCAGCTGCCATCTCCAAAGAAGCTGAGCTCGGGTGTCAGCAATGATAGGAACACAGTATGGAAAGGAAGGACCCTTTAGTTTCCTTTTTCAGTAGGTAGCACACCCTAAATAGGCTTAATTATGCCAAGAAGGTTCCCAGCTGGCAACACTTTCCTGAGCTTCCACTGAATCCTGACTGGGAATTAATCCCCAAAATAATACCAAGTTTCGTCTGACTCAGCACAGCCTCCTTCCAGCACCAGAAGAGCAGGTCTAAAAGTCCTTTTGGAGATCTTTATGCCCTGTAAGTTACATCCTATTTACTTTACAGGCTGAATTATTATGAAGTGAGCTGACTCCGGCAGGAGGAACCCTGCTGAAATGCAATTACCTGTGAATGGCATCCTCTCCCATTTCCTGAGAGGGGTGTGATTGCATTAACAACCTTATCACTTTCTTAACACCCCTCAATATAATCCTCAGGTGCTAACCAGCTTTTTTCTTCAGATTGCTCCAAGTTTAATGCTATGTATGAATTAAGCAACCATTTCCAGCTTGGAAGCAGGGTCTGGCTTGACTTTTCTCAGCTGTAGTGGCAGCTAAGTAATCTGCTTCACCTTTGTTCTTAATACCTCTCTGCTAGGTTGGCCCCCTCCCGTGGTCCTCTCTGCAGCCTCTCAAAGAGCAGCATGGGAACACCAGAGGAGCAGGAGAGAGCAAAGACATTTCTTAAACAGACACTGTCATCACAAGGAATGTTTGTCCTGTCACAGACAGTGTGTTAATGGAACTGCTGCTCTTCCATCCTGCTGAGAGGTCCCCTCTACCCAATATGCTGTCCTTATGGTCTGCTTATACATCTTGGCTCTCCTTTACAGCATTTCCTCTCCTGGAGCCCTGCTAAATCACTCAGTAGTGAGGCTGGGAGATAAAGCGGATATACAAAGAAACCACTTGAACTTTACAATATGGTTCCAAGACTATT